TTTGATCTTTTTTATTTTTGGTTTTATATTCAGCTTTAGGACTTAACTGTTTTGATGTTTTCTGGCCATGATTTTGTCCACCAACTTAAACCTACAAATCCTTCATCTTGGATACAGCGAATGCTGAAATATTACTGCTCCAAAATCAGAAAAACTAGGATCATATTTACCATTAACGATAATAGTTACTGCCGGTAAGAAATTTATGGTCTCTGAAAACTAGGATCATATTTACCATTAACGATAATAGTCACTGCCGGCAAGAAATTTATGGTCTCTGGTTGCTGTTTTACCGATCAGACCGTAATTAGGAAGTCGACATAAAGCGACGGGCAGCATGGTAGGAAAGCGGGCCTCTTTTTACTTTTTCAAGTGTCCAGAATCTGGACGGTCCTTTACTGATTGAATTTTTTCCCTCATGGGACCATCTAACGTTACTGATTCCTTCGAGCATATTCTCCAACCATGCCAGGCTCATCTCTTCTTGTAAATCATTAGCTTAGCCTTAGAAGAGAAGCATAATCCCATTTTGATTCGATTGTCATTTTCGTTCAAACCTTTTGTATAGCTCCGTTTGGGGTTGCAGTGACTCGTAAAAAAACGCTTTTGACACAAGTGCTAAATAGTTTTAGGTTATCAAAAGATGGGCAATTTTAAGTTACGAAAATTAGTTACTAAATACCTTAAAAGTACTTCTGGTGTAAGCGCACTGTAATTTCAAATGGGACCTAAGTCGTAACGAGGAGTGTGCTCTAGATCATGTTTTGCATGAGAGGAATAATTGTGCAGGTATCTTGGTCAAGATTAGGTTAAAATTGCTAGTCTCGCACTTCTTCTAGATCCACCATCTACTATGAAGGAGTTCTTGGCAGCAAATTTATTGGGTGCTTCTTATAACAGAGTGGTTAGTTTGTAATGGGCGTCTAATCCTCTTCTTGATCAAGAAAAAAGAGAAAGAAAGGAGATATTTTTCATTAGCTAATGAAGTTGTGTTAGAGTAAATTTTATCTCTTCTCTTCTTAGCGTTTGATTAGTATTTTACATTATCTTCTTTGTGGTGTTTGTTTGATGCATCTTTATATATATATATATATATATATATATATATATATATATTCTCTCACCAAACTTCAACTTTGGAACACATCTGGCCATTCCAACAACAAATATACCTATAAGATTTTTGACGATTAGTTATTCTGGTAACGAAAAGAGATGATTCTCAACCATGGACCAAATTCAAAAGAAAAAGAGGAGTACGTTGGAATGTCAAGATCAATTTCTTGCATCTTTGGAAGTGATAGGATGGTTGAGACAGAAAAGAAACAACAAATGAAAGCAAAAAAACAAAAATCCCACAGCCTTGGGACTTCTTGTGGTCCTTGCATACTCGATGAGAAAATTAAAGAAGCACCGTCGGGTAGTCTCTTGCAATCTTGGTCCCTAGTTTCCTTGTGAAGCTGATTGGAACATATCTGTTAGATTCGCATGGCTATTTAAGTTTTAACTCTTTTTTTTTTTTTTGTCACTAAAATTTTGTGATATTGGCTCTCATCATCCACACACACGATGTATGATAACGTTCTTGAAATCATACGTCTCTTATGTGAGTTTTTAAAAATTACTTAATAGTGCAGTTCTCACGTTAATAAGATCTGATAAGAAAGTGATTCGTTGTGATCAACTGAACCAACATAGTTTGGCATGGCTATTTGAAGCTAGCAAGTGTGGGCTTGATCAAGCATAAGTCACATTCACAAACATAGGGCTGAAATTGGTTTCTTTTATCATATTCGTCTTCTTTAACTCAGACCTACTTTTACAAGCACAAAAGCAAATATAGGAGGAGTTTTTTTTTTTTTTTTTTTTTGGGGAACGACAGAGAACTTTTTACTAATGACAGTCAAAGAAGATTACAGTTATAGGTATATCCCTACCTACATAAAACAAGCACTAATCTATACAATACTCCAAGATAAGCAGAGAAAACAATGAACTTATCAGAACTTAAGCCTGTATAAAATATATAGAATTCAAATTTAGGTTCTAATAATAATTAATGCATTCAAGATTACAGAATTGAAGAGATAAAATGATCACTCATTTGTGAGAAAGAAGAAAATAAATAATTCACGCTATTATTGAAATCTCAAACAATGGAACAAAACCACACCATAATAACACTTGATTAGACTCTTTTAGAGTGTCTCTTGAACTCTTTCAAGAAAATCTCTCAACTAATGCCATATTTGTAACTTACTAAGACTTATTAAATAAGAAATCACTTGCACAAAAAATTACAAAGCAAAATACAAATTTGAAATAATTCGCCTTTGACACGTGGAGGTCTGCAAGTTGGGCTTTAGCTCAGAGCCCAAATATTTGTTAGCCAATACGGTAAAACTTGTTGATAAACAAATAAGAAATTGGCCCACATCATTTTCTGGATATGGTGTGGCCGGAAAGGAGACCCAATATGCTAAAATTTATTTATAAACGATTGCGCCAAGGCCAACGTTATTATTTCTTTTTAATATTATAATCAGTTAATTGCCTTTGTTATTTTTTTACAATTTTTTTCACAAAAATAGGTAAATTACGTATCTTTTAAGTGATTATTTCATCATTTTAATATGAGAATAATCATGGGCATAAGTAAAAACAAATAGGCACATCTCCACAGTAACTGGATGACAAATAAGACGAGACAGAAGAAATTGTAGAATGAATTTGGGAATTTCAAAAAGTTTTGGTACTTTCACAGTGTTGTAACTTTGTTGAAACTAGAAATACAAAAATGTTTAAGGTTGAAACAATAATTTTGTGATACATGGAAAAACAAAAGAAATGGTTTTGTGAATTGCAATTTTACAATTCACAAAATTAGGTACCAAAAGGGGTATGACTGTAGTTGACGGTCTAAAAGAAAAACATTTGAAGGTGATATTCAAAAGAAAATGTATCTAGGAAAGAAGAAAATTTTCATTATTTTATTTTTTTTTATTCTATTAGTAGAGTTTTTTTTTATCATTCCTCTTGAATATCATCATATCTTCAAGTTAAAATTATCACTGAATAATGAAACAGGCGTTTTTGAAGCTTTAAATTGTATTGACTTTAATCATTTAAATTTTAATACACTATTATCGCTGAGGGATAGAAATTGAGAGAATGGACTATACAACTTTCCTAATTTTTATTGGGGAAAAAAAAAGGAGGTTTTCATAATTTGTTGTTCTGGCAACGAGAACAGATGATTCTCAACTTTTGGACCCAACTCAAAAGAAAAGGAGGAGCAAGTTGAAACGTGAAGATCAATTTCTTGCATCTTTGGAGGTGGTAGCCTGGTAGGATGCTTGAGACAGAAAGGAAACGGAAAGAAAAGAAGAGAGAAAACAAAAAATATCCCACGGACTTGATGGTTGATAATACTTCATTCGTCTAGTCCCTTTACAATCTTGGCTTCGGCAAAAGTTACTCTTTCCCCTTCTGTTTTTCCCCCCATACTTCCCATATGAAACTAATTGGCACATTATATATCTTTCTCAATCTCGTGGCTATATCAACTGAACCTGGAATACCCTGGCTTGGTCAAGCACGAGCCTTAGCTGAAATTGGCTTTTATCCTATTCATAGATATAGGGCTGAAATTATCATCAATGTTCGTCTCCTTTTAAGCACAAAAGCAAAATACTAGGAGTTACTTACTATAGCTCAAAGAATTCGGCTAGTTTTTTTTTATTTTTTTTAATTTTATAAATAGAAGGTTTTGAATTCAAAATTTCTTATTTATAATTTCTCTTATTTTACCGTCCAACATAACTATTTCTGACCGAGTTCATAAACTTGAAATGAAGCAATGCACTGTCTTCCAAAATGATATTATGATAATGAAGCAGCAATAAATTTACAAGAAGGCGTCTAAAGAAAGATTAGACGGCCCCTTCCCCCCCCCCCCCCCCAACCCTTCCCCCTCCCCCCCAAAAAAAAAAAAGAGGATTAAAGTGGAGTCATGAGGTTAAAATGTTTTCTTCACGGTTTGATGTATTCCTCTTGAAGGCGTGGAATGTCATCTTCCGCCTTTGGAATTGAGAGTAGACTCAAAACCCGAATATTTGTCAGCGAGAAATGGACCCATGTTATTTTCTGGATTTGGTAGAAAAAGAGGCTCAATTTTTATTGATTATTTTTCATATTGTAAAGCTAAAATTTATCTACAAATGAGTCTGCCAAACGATTTTTTTATTTATTTTGGTTACTTAATCACTCATTGCAATTAGTCAAAACAAATAGGCCAATCTAATTTATTGGAGGTATCAAATGGCTATAATTTGTTTCTAGAAATTTCAAAAGGTTTTGGTACTTTCCATAGTGTTTTAACTTTTTTTTTACGATGACTCGAGTCCTCAATTTATTAATTACAGTTACAATGTTTTATCAATCAAACTATGGCCCCGTTTGGAAGGTGAGTTTTTTGGGTGTTTGTCTAAAACTTTACTGTAACTTACTGTAGAAATTTTTACAAAAATTTTTGAAGTGTGTGTGTTTGTTTTTAATATTTTGAAGTATATAGTTTAAAAACTTTGAAAAGCTTTTTAAGATTATTGTAGCTAAAGTTTTTAAAAAACTTTTAGCAGACAAACTTGACAAAAAAGCAGTCAACGCATATCTGCACTTTGTTGTCATAATGCTATAACTTGGAAATGAGAAATATAAAAATCTTTAAGGGTCAAGAAATGATTTGTGATATATGAATCGAAGTAAATTAAGGTCACAAAAATAAAGCAAATGTCTACAAAAGTGCAAATCCTTCATTCATTTTATTTTTTTCGTCCTACTACTAGTTTATTCACAAGTTTTATCGTCCTACTAATTGTTTATTCACAAGGTTGGTTTCTATTTTATTCACAAAAAAAGAGGTTTTATTGGGATATAAAAAGAGGTTTTTTGAAAATGTTAAAATATGGCCCCCCTATACTACAAACTTCTTTGCACCAAAAACTTTCCCCGCCCATCCATATTAAATCAAAAATCAAAATTCCCACAAACCCTTCCACACCTCCACTTCTCACTGCCCTCCGCTCTCGTCTGTCCAGCCATGGAAGACGACGATCAGAAGGTCCTAGATCTAATCAAAGAACTGGTCCACCGCTTACTCTACACCTCCCAGCACCCAAACCCCTCCCCGTCAGCCTCCTCAAACCCTAATTCCTCCTCCTCCTCCTCCCCCACTACCCATCAATATCAGCAAGCTCTCCGGTATGCCCTTCGCATTCTCTCCAGTCGGATGACCCCATCAATTGCCCCCGACGATGCCGCAATGGCCGAGTCCATTAAACGCCGCCTCGCCACCCAAGGTAAATCCTCCGAAGCCCTTACTTTTACGGATCTTTACTCCAAGTTTTCATCCAAAACGGGCCCCGGAAGCGTGAAAAATAAATGGGGTGTGCTTTATTTGCTAAAAACGATCTCTGATGATCGGAAATTGCTGAAAAATCAGTCCATTTCTAGGGTTTCTAATGGATTCTTCGACCCCGCCTCGGTCGGCGGATTGCCGGCATTGTTTGATAGTGACTTGAGCGACAGAGTTAGTGTTGTTAATGAACATTACAAGAATTTGAGTGATTTGGATGACAAGCATTTTTCGCATAATTTGGGGGGTTCTAGTGATAATTTGAAAAAATTGAGGGGTTTGAATAGTTTTGGGAAGGTGGAGAAGAAATGGGGTGATAGTGCTTTCAATGAGAATTTTGAGAAATTGAGGGTTTCAGGGGAGGGTTCGAGGGGTTTCAAGGGTCGGGAGAATGTGGGCAAGGGTTGGAGTGGAGGGGTTTTAATGGTTTCGAAGGACCCGGAAAATATTCGTCATTTGGCGTATAAGGAGTTTGCAGCACTGTTAAGGGAAGAGAATGAGGTTTCAGAGGAGGCCTTGGTGAGGGATGTGTTGTATGCTTGCCAAGGGATTGATGGGAACTATGTGAAGTTTGATGAGAAAGCTGATGGTTATATGTTGCCTGAGTTAGTGAAGGTCTCAAGAGCAACTCATGTTATGGTTCGGAAGCTTTGTGAGCTTGGATGGTTGTTTAGGAAAGTGAAGGGTTATATTTCAGAAAGTATGGAGAGGTTTCCAGCTGAGGATGTAGGGACTGTTGGGCAAGCATTTTGTGCCGCCTTGCAGGATGAGCTGTCAGAATACTATAAGTTGCTTGCAGTTCTTGAAGGTCAGGCAATGAACCCGATTCCACTGGTTTCGGAGAGTGCAACTTCGGGGAATTATCTTTCATTAAGGAGATTGTCAGTTTGGTTTGCTGAGCCAATGGTAAAGATGAGATTAATGGCAGTTTTGGTTGATAGTTGTAAGACTTTGAAAGGTGGGGCTATGGCGGGGGCAATTCACATGCAAGCCCAACATGGTGATCCACTTGTGAAACAGTTCATGAAAAGATTACTCCGATGGGTGTGTTCCCCTCTTTTTGAAATGGTTAGGAGTTGGGTTCTAGAAGGAGAGCTTGAAGATATTTTTGCTGAATTCTTTGTTTTAAGTCAACCAGTTAAAGCCGAGTCGCTCTGGAGGGAAGGTTACAGTCTGCATTCTGCAATGCTTCCTTCTTTTATTTCGTCTTCTCTGGCTCAGCGGATTTTAAGGACAGGGAAGTCAATTAATTTCCTTAGAGTTTGTTGTGAGGATCGTGGTTGGGCTGATGCAGCAGCAGAAGCTGCTACTGCTGCTGGGACTACCACAGGGAGAGGTAATCTTGGTTATGGTGAAACTGATGCACTTGAATCTCTAGTTGCGGAAGCTGCCAAGAGGATTGATAAGCATTTGTTGGATGTTATGTACAATAGATACAAATTCAAGGAACATTGCCTCGCAATTAAACGCTATTTGCTCCTTGGGCAGGGTGATTTTGTACAGTATCTTATGGATATTGTCGGTCCGGAACTGTCTGAACCTGCTAATACAATCAGTTCATTCAAGCTTGCAGGACTACTGGAAAGTGCAATCAGGTCATCTAATGCACAGTATGATGATCCTGATGTACTGGACGGGTTGAGGGTTAAGATGATGCCACATAACACTGGGGACAGAGGCTGGGATGTATTTTCACTGGAATATGATGCCAGAGTTCCACTAAATACAGTTTTTACTGAATCCGTTATGGCTAGATATCTGAGGATATTCAACTTTTTATGGAAGCTGAGGAGAGTAGAGCATGCTCTTATTGGTGCTTGGAAAACCATGAAACCAAATTCTGTTACTTCTCGTTTCCTTGATAAGCTCCCAAATGCTGTTAAGTTGCAGTTGGTTCTGACATCAAGGAGATGCCAAGTTCTTTGGGATGAGATGAATCATTTTGTCACAAATTTGCAATATTACATCATGTTTGAGGTCTTGGAAATTTCATGGTCCAATTTCTTGAAAGAGATGGAGATAGCGAAAGATCTTGATGATCTACTTCTGGCACATGAGAAGTATCTTTGTTCAATTGTGGAGAAGTCTCTCCTTGGAGAGAGGTCACAAACTCTGAATACAACTCTTTTTGTTTTGTTTGATCTAATATTGCGGTTCCGCAGTCATGCAGATCGATTATATGAAGGTATTCATGAGTTGCAATCGAGGTACTGGCCTTATCTTTCCATTTATAGTGAATTTTTCTGAAGTTAAATTATTGGTTCTTTTTCTTTGGCTCATTTAACATGTTTGTTACATTTTTCAGAAGCACAGAAACTTCCCTGTCTTCACGTGATAAAACAAAATCTCGGGCCAACAAAAATGACAAATTATCTGAACCTGGGTTGTGGCTTGGTGAAGGCAGGAAGGCTCTAACACAGCGTGCTGGAGAGTTCCTTCGAAATATTGGGAAGGATTTAGATGCAATTGCAAACGAATATACCTCTGTGTTTGACGGGTTCATTTCTCAATTGCCGGTGCAGCAACACATAGATTTGAAGTTCCTCATGTTCCGACTGGATTTCACTGAATTTTATAGTCATCTGCAGTCCAAAACTGGCACAAAGCTACTACCTTAGCACCCCTGTTAAGCGACATTTTACTTTCTAAAGTGTGTAAGATGTATGCTTTCTTTAGTAGTTGCACATCATGTGTGCTTGTAGATAGTCTCTTGGCTGTTGTAGAACAGGCCCTACATTCTGTACATAATTATTTGCTTTCAGGTAATAGTTTACTCTCTCTCTCTCTCTCTCTCTCTTTCTCGTTTGCTTACTCTGTTGCTTATTCGTGGTTTTCTTTCTTTCAGAAGGCATTCTTAAGTTCTTGAGCAGGTGTGCAGCTGCTCTTGGCTGTTGTACTTGAGCTGAAGGTATTCTGCTCTGACTGTCACCAATGTAGAACATAGTGTTCCACGTTTGATTGTTATGTTTCATTTTAGTTTTTCTTCTTTTCATACGGTCAATTTTTGAGCTTGTAAGTCTCTGTAACATGTTTTCGTTTGGTATGGTAATTAGTAAAGGCGCTGGTAGGTTTATTGCCATCATGTTTCCATGACTTGTTGGTGATATATTGGTTCCTGTATCGCTTAATGAATTTATTGGTAGCAGTGTGTGGAACTGTATTTGATTATATCTTTGTTTTGTTCTGATGTTGTCAACAGAGAATATCTTGTGGCCCTTTAAAATCTTGTTGTCTTGTATAAAGTACCCAGCATGGATTGTGCTTTCCAATAGGGAATGCTAAACCATGCTTTATAATGAATTCTGCTATATTTCGTTATTAATCCTTGGAAAAGGCTCTAGATTAAATGGTTCATGCTACTTCTTAGAAGGACTTTTCTATTGCATTCTACCTTGATCATCTCTTCAGACTTGCTCTGTTGATTAGTGGACCATTTATTTGTTTTGCTGTTTTAATGCAAATTTGCACGCAATGTGCATCATAACTAAATAGATATATTGTGCATTGAGGAGATTGGTTTGTTGTGACTTGTGAGAACTTTGTCTTTCTTCCTTTGCTTCTATTACTTTTATTACCTATTTCTAGTTGACATTCCCCTGTTGCAAGCTGACATTCAACTGAATCAGAATTAATGGGTCTGTACTCCCATTCTAGACATCCTTAGATTTAAAACATCTTCTATGTAGATCGCTTTGGTGTTTTATTTATTTTTTGGTTGGGTTCATCTCAGATTTCAACCACCTATGTTGGTCCATTGAAATTTGTATTACCTTCGGACGGTTTGAAGCTTTTGACAAATTTTGGCTACTTTTTATGTAGCGGTTGATAAATGAGTGAATCTGAATAATATGCCAGTGTACGTCTTAATGTATTATTATATGACAAAAAAAATCAATGCTTGCGGCTACAGTTGGATGTAGGTTTTTGAACATTTTATTCTAATTCTCTTCTTTTTTGATCTCAAGGTTCTGGAAAATTATTTCTCTTTTTGGTTGTCAGGGTTAGGAACAGTGTGTTGCACCATATCTTAGCCTCTTTTATTGCTGTTGTTGACAGTTCTTTTTCCATGTATTCGGCTTGTTTGGGAGTTTGAGTCTGATTAATGGAGAACAGCAGAGTTTTGCACCCTTTTAACGTGCAAGTCTGTATGTACCTTTGTCTGACTCGGCAGCATTGTGGAGTTCCAAAATGTTAGGATTTGTACTTTGCATTGTTAGATTTTTGTAATTTGTTAATATCGAAGTGTTTAATGGCTCCTTATGAGGGGCTTTCTAGTTATGTTGTAGTGAGCTTATAGTGTGTTGGGTTCAGAAGTAGCTTCTGATGGAATATCAACGGAACTAACAATTGCCTATTCAATGTATCTAAGTTCCATAGAAGAGGAAATTGCAGTTGAGGATGAATTGTGTGTGTGTGTGAGCTTTTAGTTTCAGGTGCTGGATTATTTACTTACTGAATATCTTAATTTGTGTTGAAATATTTTAATCATGTCAAAGATTGTCTAAATTTGTGCTCGCAAGTCGTAAGCATTAGCAAGGAACTAAATCATCCTTTTCGATAATGTATCAAACTTGTTATGGGGAAATCTGTTGTGTTGTTTGAAATTGAAATTTGAGTTACTTGTTCAAGGGCGTCAAGTTAATCCCCCATCAAAGGGCTGCCCAATGACTTCTGTATCAGCAACTGTTCTGCTGCTTGATTTACTTTTTGCCAACGCTACTGTTTTACACGCAGCCCCTTCAAGCCTGCATGGAAAACAAACCAGATGCAATTCCAGTTATGCCAAAAAAAAAAAAAGAGGTCTATACCAAAACATGAGCAATTGGAAACAAAATTTAAGCAGGGCTTACGTTGAGAACTAGACAAAAAAACTTGTGAAAGTATGTTACCAAGTTATCAACAATTTCATAAACTCTGAAGCACAGAATTTAAATACTTTGTTTTCTTGATCTCTACGAAATTCATGTATAATTCCTATCAAAACAAAGGAAGCAAATATACAAATAATGCCTGTGCATCTACTATTCATTGAGGAAACAGATTTCCCGCATGGCTAAGCAGAATTTGCCGCAAGCGTGCGATCTCTCCCGCAGAATTGAGTTTGATACCCGCCCAACGTATACTTCTTTCCTGTGAATGGTATGAACTTATTTTCAACACTAGTTGCATTCTTTTTGTTATCTAGTTCTTCAGAGATCCTCCTTGATTTACTTGGCTGATTACCGACTTCTTCAGGACCAAACACTAGCTTTCCAGCACGCTTTCTGGATAAGGGTTGTGCTTCAGATGCCATTCTATTGCTAGATTCTTTAACTGGCAGTTGAGAAGAGGGAGGAGTAGAAGAAGCTGCACGAGGCACAATACTTCCAGGTTGCTCATCCAATCTTCTGGCAGCACCCACAAACGGCTTGAACTTAGGCTGTTGATCATCATCTTGAGCTGATGTTTGTTTTTCTTGAACCTTTCGGGGATCAGCGTCCATGGCAGCACGCACAACTGATGATGGAGGTTGCTTTTCTGGCTCTTTGTAGTCTAAAGGAGGTGCAAAATCAACCTCACAATCTGTCTCAAAAAGCGAAATAGCATTCGAAGGGTTGTTTCCAATATGTCAATGTAATACCGGTTATACTGATGAGTGATCATGATGGTATCTCCAGCAGTCACACATGCAAAATCTTTCAGTGCTGTTTCAAGGATTTCTTTAGGATCAGGTAGTTTGATAAAGTTCATCCTATGTGGTTGAATCTTCATAAAACTTCCTCTGGGAAGAGTTACATACTTCAACACCACGATTGAACCAGGATGAATTTGCAAGTTTTTCATCATCCATTCTGGCACGTAAACAAAACCCTCATCCACACTGAACTCTAGAACGCCACAATGAGAAACTTGTTGAGAGCCACCCTCGTTATCGTCCCGCCTGCCCCTGGTGTTGGTGGTGGTGGTGTTGGTGCTGGCGGCGGCAGCAGTGGTAGTTGGTTTTTTAATCTCAAACACCATGGATGTTGTCCATATAGACTAAGCGTTCAAGTGCCGAGGGAGGCATTACGATCCTGTTTCCATCTTCGAGATATTCCCTATCCTTGATATGAGAAACCGGAAAACAATTATAAGATTGTTCAAAGGATTCATAATCTTGATCCTGAAAATCTTCCATGGCTGGTTCCATGTTAGATAGAAGATTAAAGCTGAAGTGAATTAATGAGGTTGTTGGACTTGAACGAATCTCTTTTACAGGGTCAGGGAGACTTATAATTGTACATGTCAGTGCGTCTCCACAGATAAGGTCCCTTTTCCAACTTTTGTTAGAATCCTTTGTTTCCTTTTTCACTTCGGTTTTAGTTTGACGATTTTTTCTGATCTTAAATGGGTGGAACATAGCCCATTCATCTAAATTCTCCAGTCTCCCAACTAGTTATATTAAATTTGTCCAAACATCAGAACAGTTGTATTTTTATAAATTTTTGCCCATTTTTGATGAAAGGTTTGACTAATATATAGCACATTTGTGAATGCATACTGTCTCATGGTAAATTACATGCAATTTAGATACTCGTTAAACAAAAAAAAAAAAAAAAAAACCCTTTAATCGTTTAATCATAGTTTTTCAAGATTTTCCCTTCCGAATTTGGAAATAGTTTTCCGTAAAGGAGACTTCAAAACACCGTATTGAGCAGAGATTTTAACCCACCAGTGTCAGATGGCGTCCGGAGTAGCTAGGGAGGTCTCAGCTTGTTTTTGGGAGCGCTTATCCAAGGGGTACCAGCAATTGCAAACCTCCACAATGCGTTGACATGTTCTGGCAAAGCATAATCTATTCCAACTCTTGGACCAACAAGTACATGCTCTGGCCGTGGTCCATCTAGGAGCTCTAAACCACCTGAGTTACATCCTAGTCTATGTTAGAATCTGTTTAAGAACATCCTAGTCTAGGAAGTATAAATGTATAATACTCCCCATAAAAGTTTCACCAGATTTGAGCTTTATCAGTGATGAAAAATAGGAAGAAAGAAAGAAAAATTGGAAGCTTACCAGGAGTATATAGGGAATGGTTAGACCAATCTGTTGAAATTCCTAATGCTTGACCAACCTTGAGAAACAAATGAGAAGTGTCAATCGGAATAAGGTTGTTGAAGTTGGCGTAGTTTAGCGGAAGACATATATTGTCTTAATGAGAATCAGCTTGCTGAATGCAACCTCAGATGTTTCTACAGCTAACAGCTGCAACACATTTCTTTTAATGTCCTGTTGCTTAATACCCCAATATGATTGTCATTTCGGTTGTTTTTTTTTCCCTTGGGGATTCTTTAAACATCTTGTTTTTCAATTCTAGATTAGCACTAAATAATGATACTTAAAAAAATTCAGTCTAGATTTTTCTGCTAATAGACTTGTAGAACAATATAGTAGTTTAATCCACACCTCTTCCAGTAAAAGTCGCTAAACTATATTGCCGCACAATAATAATGTTAAAAGTTCCAAGCAGAGGATAGATGCTAGAATGTTCATACAAGAGGAGGAAGAAGAAGTTATAGATCACCTTTCCTGGCCCTGTAAGAAGAACAGGCTTCTCAGTCACTATACCTCGACGTTGTTGAATGGTTTTGAGCCCTGAGTTATAATTAAAAGAATTTTGGCATAAGATCTCAGCCATGATAGCTTTTATGATGTTAAGGATATTCATCCAGGAAAAAAGTGGTAGATAATAAATTTTCACCAGAAAAGTTCCTCTTTAGTATCATGATAAAGCAGCAAACATCAAAATCTTTATTTCTTTTCTCCACGTTATTTGGATAACATGTGAATCACTACTTTTTTGGTTACCAAAAAGCATTTCCCTAAGACAAAATCTGAATGAATTCTTCATCAAAAGTCTTCTGCCTAGTTCACATTTGGAGCTTTCAATATTTATTTCACATTTATCTCATCCAAATGCAACAGAAGTGCCTTGGAGTTGGCATTTTGCTTCAGCATAATCCAATATGTTCTACTAATGACTGCTTGAGGTTATAGCTGCCACATGGTATTCCAAGAAAACTTGCTACACTACCATTATAAATTAAATGCAAAATACAAAACAAAGAAACTATAGCAAGAATCGACAAAAGAAAATGCTAATTCAACTTCAGAATTCCAAAATGGTATTACCACTGATTGGGGCACAAGAACGAATTAGCACAGCTGCTCCTGCTCCTTCTCTGTCCGCGACAATATTGAGCATGGTGTGGAGACCATAGCAAAGGTAAACATATGCATGTCCACCAGGTCCAAACTATATTAACCACAAAGAGAAGATATTTACAGCAAAGAAGCCACAATAAAATATGATAATGGATTCAATTTTATATTTCAGGATATGTTAGCACTAAACGAACAAGGAATAAACCTTGGAGTTAGGCATTTTCCCTAGTAATATCTTCAATTTATTGTATTTCTGAAGTTAAAGAGATCAAGTTGGCTAGGAACTGAGAAAGAATAAGGCCTATCTTGCAAGGTCCCTAATTTAATTGGAAGAATAGGTCATCTGAAAACTGCTAATACATCAGCTAGACTTAAAATTATAGTCTCAAAAGTAGCTTAAATTTGGATAAGTTTTCATGATTGCATCTGATCCACAAGCCAATGCAAACTATTAAGTACACAAAACAAGTCTTATTACCTTGTCATGGCATTATTTGTTAAGACAATACAAGATAACCAAGAACCAGAAATTGAATCTTTAGCCAACACAAACACCTACACACAAAGACATTTTATATGGTCCAAAATCAGAAGCTCTGCTCTTCTGGTAGGCAGGTCTACTTAATAAATTATGATTATCACCCTTCTGTACCTCCATCCACATGCATCCATCTTTTTTGTTCACTTTCATTGCACTTAAATGCCGAGAGGATACTAGCAGGCAAGGATGGCTTAATCCTTAGGCAGTTACAGTAAAGGGGAAATGGACAGTTTGAAACATACCCTTCCTGGTATTATTGTAATTGCACAATCCTTATAAGGAATGAGATCTGAAACCTCAAAAAGGAAAGATGATGACATGATATTAGGTCAGGAATTTTGTGTTCATTATTCCCCCAACTGATTCAGCATCTGAAAACATGAAGCAACGGTCACATGGTACTCATAATGAACATATTTTCGTAATTTGCAACTGATCACAATCGAGGCATTTGGAAAGTACCGTGGTATAAAGTTTTGCATCCACCTTGTATTAGGGGTTGGAAATCGTTCATTCTTATGTAATTGCTTTCATCTTAGCTATCTCCGTTTTACTTCAAGGCTGCTTTTTCAGGGAACAAGCTTAGTTCAGCCTAAAACTAACTGCTCACTATTGTGTCATTTTACAAAATAAATAACCGGCTATCCAATTATGCTTCTGTAGTACTATAAGTAAACACAGACCATTTTACAATTACCACATGGACCAATCAAACAAGCAGAAAATTATGACTGTTAACGATTCATTATTACAGATTCTTTATTTTAATGATGGGGAGCGAAGGCCAAATGTATTTGTAAGACTGCAGATAGTCGTTTCATCCTATAAAAGTTATCTAAAATCAGGCACGATTAACATGCTCCATTCATTTGCACAAGTAACAGGCAAAGCAGATAGCACTTAAATGGCTATAACAATAAACTTACAACTGGTGCTGTTCTTGCTGTCATGCCAAATCGACCGTGGCAAGCTGAATCATTTGGCCTATAAGCTTCCACCTATAATCAAGTCCCAAAAAAAAAAGTGTTAAGGCATCCCGTTCTAAGATTACAGGAATACAAAAATAGATATAGTAATTCACCTCAGTTATCTGAAGAACAACATCGTCTCTTCTGAGGTACTTTCCAAGCAAAAGTGGGGCAAGATCAAGGGCATCAATTTGGTAGAAATCAGGGGACAAGATTGGCCATTTCTCAAAGAATGTAGACAACGAAGAACTGGGATTTAAATCATTATCATCATCATCATCTCGAAAGTCAGATTCTGGGATTGTTGAACTGGGGTTAGCCCTGGGATTGACTTTTGCTGTCGTCTTAAATTTTCTTTTTATGATACTGGTGGCGGTGGTGGTTTTCTTGATGGGTTTAGTGAGTTTTTTGGGAATTAGAGTATCCTTCATCGAATTGATCGATGAAGAAAATGGAAATTTGGACTGGAGAGTATCAGACAACAAGAGAAGTCTTTTGATTGCAAGAATAGCATAGAAAATAGTGGACTTTGATAGTTTGACCCTGCAGCTTTTTGGTTAATTTGGCGGGTGTTTGTTGACGACTTGATGTGGTTGCTGTCAATGCAGTAGGAAAGGAAGGAATCAGAATGCTGCTTGGAGTTCAATAAAAAAAAAAATTTTTTTTTGGGTTCTTCCAAAAGGATTTACTTAGAACAGCACCTTTTATTGTTTCAGTTTTTTAATTTAAATCTGACTATTCTTATATTACCTCATTAACTACAAATGCAATTATTCCAAGTAGCAATAGATTGATTATTCTCAAGTGAGTATATGTATGGAATGGCTACTATTTGTCAAAAATAATTACTTGTAGCACAAATATATTATTATTTTTTTTATCTTTCTAATTCTTTTTTATTTGATATATATGACATCACAAAAAAACTAATATAATAATTACTCTAAATCCTTCTTTGAATAATCTTTTATCCGAATAATTTTGCTCCACATATTTATCAATTGAAAATCTTTATTTTATTTTGTTTGTTTGAGAAATTCATCTACTTTCATCCTACCTTAGATTTAGTGAATTAAAATCAATATAAGTATTGGCTAACAAAATTAACTTATTTTCATACTATAATTCATCGAGTGCTTGACTTTAATAGTAATCTACTTAAATTTTATTTAATTTTTTTAACGGGTTTAAAATTTTATTTAATCTCTGTCTATGGAAGTTCTAATATTTGCCAATTGAATTCAATTATTTTTTGTTTGATATATTATATTCTTGTAATTCATTTGGTAGTTGTGGAACAAAATTGAAAACTTGTTTGGGCAAAAGTTCAAATAAAAGAAATATTAAGGGAGAAAGAGTGAAAAGTAGTGTAAGTTACCACGGTGGCCTATTTCTTCTAGACCCTTCTATATCTGAATTAAAATTTTTGCAACCCAAATTAGGGTTTTCCTTTTACTATTCTAGACCCTTCTTCTTCCTCCTTCCACCTCCGGAACCCTCCAGAGACTCTCACTTCTTTTTTAAATCTCCCTTTTGCACAGAGTTTCACCTACAAATACGCACCGGAAACGCTCAAGAACGAAGAAAGCGAAAAAAATAAACTCCTAAATTTTCCACTTAAAAACAATGGCGAGAATGGGCGAAGGAGACAAGAGATGGATCGTCGAAGACCGCCCCGACGGCACTAACGTCCACAATTGGCATTGGGCCGAGACAGATTGTCTTGAATGGTCCCGCAATTTCTTCAAGAAAACCCTCTCCGATCAATCCCTATTAAACGGCGAAGGCAATCTCTTCATTAAGATAAACAAGGTCGATAAACTCGACGGCGAAGCCTACGTCAACATCCGGAAGGGGAAAATCATCCCTGGGTACGAATTAAGCCTCGTAGTTTCATGGGAAGGTGAAGCCAACGATTCCGATGGTAATTCAGTGCTTAAATCCGAGGGGACCGTAGAGATACCTTATATTTCCGATGAGAACGCGGACGAAGATCCGGAGCTTAGGGTTACGGTGAAGGACGATGGGCCAATCGGCAAAAGATTAAAGGAGGCCTTTTTAGCAAAAGGGAAACCGTTTGTTCTGGAGCAAGTTAGGGCTTACGTCAGTGCAATGGCTAATGGTGGGCCCGCGAAAGAGGAGCTGGAGGTGAAGAAAGTGGCAAAGAAGACTGCTGCTGCTGGTAGTGGTGATGAGAAGGCAGTGGCGGCTGCTGCTCCGGTGGTGGAGAAGAAGGAGGTGGTGAAGAAGGAGAAGAAGAAAGAAGGGTTTAAGACGATTACAATGACAGAGAAGTTTAGTTGTGGGGCGAGGTATTTGTTTGAGATATTGATGGATGAGAATAGGTGGAAGGGTTTTACGCAGAGTAATGCTAGGATTAGTAAGGAGGTGAATGGGGAGTTTAGCATATTTAATGGGTCAGTGACTGGGACTAATGTGGAGTTACAAGAGGGCAAGCTAATTGTGCAGAAGTGGCGGTTCGGTAGCTGGCCTGATGGCATTCACTCAATGGTAAAGATTTTAACTTTTCTCAGTATGATGATTTAATTTGTTCTTGTTTTATATTCTCTGTGTATACATGGATGCTTTTGTGCAGCTTATTTTCGATTAGTCTTTCGTTTTATTCCATTTAGCAAGTAGCATGCTAGAACTGGTTAGTGGAAGAATTTGTTCATGCAGAATTTGTTTGGTAGTTCTCCACCAAGGGAAATTTACCGTTGTTGGTAATGAATTTAATACCCAAAATGTGCTTCAGGTTGAGTCAACCGCCTGTATGTTAACGTTAATATGTCTGTCGCATTGTGATTGGTGCTTGTTCGACTGCTGCAGTGGATTAATATGCTTGTTTACTTGTTGCTGTGGATAAACTAAATCTTGGCAATGATTGCTGCTAGTTAAATTTATTAGCTACAGTCCACTTGTGTATTTTGATTGATTTCTTGAGCAGCACTTCAGCTAATTATTAGATTTTTATTGTGTGCTTTGGAGCGTTGTAATACAACTTCTGTGTTACGGTAGTTTTTCCTGCCTTTGGATTATAAACATTGTACATGCTGCCTGCTTTCTAAGAATTAATGCACCATGGAGATGTACATTGATGTTCTTATTAACAGCTTGAAGAACTTATATTATTTGTCATTTTTTGCATGTTTGATTGATATCATCACCGCTGAGCAGCATGCAGTGTTTGACTTTGTTTGCAAATTCAAGTTACATGTGTTATGGAATTTTCTCCCCTTTGGGTTATAAACGTTCTGCTGAAAATAATATATGCTGCAGGTGCGACTAACCTTTGATGAGCCTGAACCTGGGATTACAATTGTAAAGCTTGTACATAGTGATGTTCCAGAGGAAGACAGGTTGGTGCCATCTCTAACTGCTTCAGAATATATTGCCTTACCTTCAGCTAGCTGTATATTTCCTAACGGCGCCACCCCATCCCTCTAGAAAGAAAAAGACTTGGCAAGAACTAGGCCAAATTCTAATTTGGGCCTCCACAGTTTGGCCAAATATACCCTATGGTCTGGAAAGCCATGATCATTGTCTTGTCCAGAAAAGATGTCTACGTGTTAAAATCACGTCTGAAATAATTATATTAGTTGAAATTTGATTGTACAGAAGGAAACACTCCCACTGGAAAATGGCTGGATTCCTGTCTCTCTCCACCCATCTTCATGTCATCCAACCCCTTATTTGCTCTCCAAATTTTCCGTAAAGCCACTTATGCCCGCTGTGACTATTTTGCCCTCTCATGCATAACATTCCCTGTTGGCTGTTTCTCCAAATCGCCTACCTACAACTCACCTTATCTCCTTCCATTAAACCAGCACCACCTTTCCTTTTCCCTCCCACTTGTTTGTGTCATAGGTGGTGAACAACCAGCACCAAGCATAAATCCTGGTGTCCCTTGCCTTGTGTCCTCACAACCTGCACCAAGGCCCTTGTCATCTTTTCTCAACCTACCCCTTAGCTAAAACTCCTTGCCTTTAGTTTTCAAGTGGACTCATTTCTGTTTGTTGCAGAGATAGCAGGATTAGGCTAGGTTTTGATTGGTCGAACTTTTCCATGTCTTTGGTTAATTCCCTGCTCTGGAAATCTACAATTTTAACTGTTTAAATATGTAATAAAGTTAATTTCAGAACTTTCTGTTATATTTTCTGGTTTCTAATTCTGGGAACTGAAAATATAACATTAGGGTTCATATGTTTTTGAGGCTTTCTCAAAGCTTTAAATAGTTTAGCCATCTCAAGTGGTCTGCAAATAATCAACTGCAGATAAACAGTTATTGAATTTTACTTTTTGTACACTTTCCCCCACCCTAATTGAAGCTATTTGATTCTGCAGATATGGAAACGCAACTGTGGTGGAGAATACAGAGAGGGGATGGAGGGATCTTATTTTCCACAAAATACGTGCAGTTTTTGGTTTTGGAATATGATTTTCTTCTTGGAGTTAGTTAATGAATCCGGCCAAGTGTAGAATTTTGTCATTTTGAGTTCCGTCAGACTGAAATATGGATTGAATATGACTCATATGGTAAATGTACCCAATTTTATGGGTGCAGCTACCATCATCTTTACTGTGACCTCTGGCTGTGCCAGACCCATTAGCCTGTGCTACCAAGTAACTAATTGTGAACTGTGTCTTGATTCAAATGAAGGACAATGTTCTTTCTTTTCTCTCCTCCATTGGCGCAGCATTGAAATTGCTAGTCATGTCTTTCTTCCGCTCTTTTGGCTCTTGGTGGGTGTCGGAGAATCTGAGAGAGAACTTAAAATCTGATCGTCCCTTGCCAAATCTGAGAGAGAACTTAAAATCTGAGAGAGAACTTAAAGTTGTGTTTGGATTGCATTTTTCGTGATTTTTTATGAAAAAATTACTGTAGCGATTTGATATATGTGAGGAAAAAAGGTAATACGGAAATGTGATCATGGAAAATAACGTAATTTTTCGATGAAAAATTGCAATCCAAACAAGGCCTAAGTTTTTTCTACAGTGTGTTTTCGATATCGCAAGTTGTACTAAACTGAATTATCTATTTGAGGCTGCACTAGGAAAACCGATGGCAACACAATCAAATGGTTAAGGAAAAAAAAAACGCGTAAAAATAAAAATAGGCGATGAACTGGATGCTTTGAAAAAATTAAAGTAATCATTGATATGGCTTTCAAAAGGGTTCACTTTTTGTACAAGGACTTGAGAAAGGCAAAAAAAAAAAAAAAACATTGAAAGGAAAAGGTGGAACTTCTACTGTGACAGCTGTACTTTCAGGAACATGGTTTAAAGTCTATGGGACTTTTCTAGGTCGGAAATAAAGAATGACCCGACTTTATGCAGGAAAGGAAAATTTATTCGTCGCCTGAGAGATTCGAACTCTCGCGGGGAAACCCCATGTACTTAGCAGGCACACGCCTTAACCACTCGGCCAAAGCGACGGTTTTGTTGTGAGGTCTTTGATATGAAATCTTAAAATATAACTAGAGAGGGCAACATGAATCCCAGCCTTCCCTCTTGTGTTTGTGTCTCATTTGACAATTCATTATAACAAGTCCATTCTTTGTTACTTACCAGAATCCCAGGATTTCTTCCTTGTATTTATGTCTTATTTGAAAATAATGAATACATATTCAATTT